ATATATATATGTGAAAGAACAGTGTTTCTGTTAAAAAGCTTAATGAAGATTTCTGCAATAGTATTTATTATTTAAATTAGGATATTTTACATTCATTTTATGGTTTTTGTATGGCAGCCATTGCTGACAGTCATTTTACCTTTTTTTCACAGTGAAGGTGTTTGATCATAATAATTCAGGAAATAACTGTAAAATAACAGTGTTTTTCTGTAAAACATTTAAGGACAAAGTTTGGAAAAGTTTTTTGCACTCAATTTAAATTAGGATATTTTACTTTATTTTTACGGTTTTTGTTTGGCAGCCGTAGCTGCCAGTCATTGACCGTTTTTTTACGATTTTATTTTTTACAGTGTAGAGAGTGGAGGGGTCAGGTCACTTAATGCAGAGGGGTCCCCGAAAATAAACAGACTAGGGCATATTCTGGTCGACAATTTTCTCTACGATTGTAGGGAAGACCAAAATGCCTGAATTTTTGGGCAACTCCAGAGCATGTATACTAGGGTACCATTTTTGTCCCGACACCTCCAGCAATCCGAGTTATCAACCAAACCGACCTTATGCAGCTTGGATGGAGTCCAATAGATTATATTCAGTATTTTGAATTAGATAAGTCGCGTTCGCAGTTCCCTTGACATTTTTTTCCCCATTTCCAAGAATTCTGCAGCTTTCCCAGGTTCATCCTGGGGCGTTTGTTATCCATGTCCAATAGGGGGTCAAAATTTGTTTTAATCAGATCCGCCAATATGGGTGTGTGTGTGTGTGTGTGTGTGTGTGTGTGGGGGGGGGGGGGTGTTAAACCAATATATTTAATGCCTTTCTTAGGCCAGGCAAAAGTGCCTGACTGGAAGAGGGATTTGGGACAATATGGTGTGAGAGGAAGAGACTCAGATTTTGTCCAGTTGACTTTATAACCCGAAATCGATGAGAACTTGTCAATCATTTTAAATAGTGATGCAAGAGAATGTTTGGGATCTGTGACAAACAAAATGACATCGTCAGCATACATCATCAATTTATAACATTTGTCACCGATTTGTATGCCTAGAAATGCAGGTTCTTTACGTATCGCAACGGCTTGCGGTTCAAGTGTAACTGCAAAAAGTAGAGGAGAGAGAGGGTTTCCCTGCCTCGTGCCTCTTTCCAGTTCAAATGGGAGGGAGATGATACCGTTAGTAAGCACTAACGCTGAGGGGTGAGTGTATGTGAGCCTAATCCAAGCTATGAACTTTTTGCCAAAGCCGAAACATTCCAGGGTGGAGAGCATATAATGCCGTCAGATTCTCTCAGATCGCGTCTTTGCTCATTCACACTGCGTGATTGTCACTCGCGTGAACGAGCACCGATTTGCCTGTGATTTCGGGCATTTGTCGGCAATTTCTCAAAACCTGTCGGCGAGCCAAAATCGGGGCTAAAATCGTGCAGTCTGAACTCGGCATAAACCTCCGTTCATAGACGTCTGACAGAAATAAAGTCAGTCTGGTTAGTAATAAGTGAAGCTGGTAATGCTGTTTGTAGAGTTGTTTAATCCTCCTGCTGAGAACTTCACAGATTTAATGTCTTCTTTTATCTTCATCTGATTTAATCTAAGGCTGTGACTGGAAGTCAGTTGTAGTTCTTGTGTTTCTCTTTCCTTCTGTGATTCTGCTTGTTAACAGCAGGTGTTTATCACTAATACTCAATCATCACTCAATTAGTCACTTAACTATCTCATTAACTTTAACACTGCTTCAGTGTTACTTTAACACTCTGTAGAGTGGGACTATATGTACTCTGAGCAGTGTTGATTTAACACTGGGGATTTGGCTGTGTAACAGGTGATTCACGACGTTTAAGCTGGTCCCCTGACAACACCGGCAGATCAAGAGTTGACAGAAAAGATGTTATGTCCCCTGTCCCCCTTCGACTCTGAAGTACACAGTTGTACATAAAAGTCTCTAAAAGCTGCATTAATCTCATTGGGATCAGTCAGGACAGACCCATTGTCCCTCCTAATAGCAGGAATAGTATTCATTGCTTCTTTTTGTTTAATGTACCTGGCAAGTAGTCTACTAGCCTTGTCACCCTCCTCAAAGTATTTCTGCCTTGCCCGAAAGAGAGAGAATTATGCCCTCTGGGTCATAATTGAATTAAAATCATATTTTAGTCTAGTCAACCTGGTAAGATTTTCAGAGGACAAATTTTTTTTAAAAAAGTTTGATTCTGCAGTTATGATCTGTTTTTCAAGCTCCTGGAGCTTAGTATTGTTTTCCTTCTTCCTGGATGACGAGTGTTGAATTATGTGGCCTCTCAAAAAGGCTTTCAAAGCCTCCCTTGCTACCTCTGCTGATGGAGCCGTTGGGAGATTGGTCTCTATATTGAGGTTGATTTGTCATCTAAGTGATTCCTTAAAGGTCTCATCTAATAGAAGGCTAGAGTTTAATCTCCATCTAGTTTACCTAGCTGGCTTATTAAAGCACAGAATATGGAGAAAAATTGGACTATGGTCTGAAATAATTATATTACCAATGTCACTCGCTCCCATAGCTGATACCAGCGAATGAGACACCAAAAAAAACAAAAAAAATCTATTCTGGAAAACGAGAAGAGAAGAATGTAAAATCTCTCGATGATGGGCTTTGTAGCCGGCAAATGTCTACTAGACCAGATGCTTTGGACATATCTTTGAGCACTGCGTGTGCCCTAGTGGTGCGGGCTGATGGAGAGCTACGGTCTCCAATAGGGTCCATTACCTCATTAAAATCACCACCCATGATTATTGGATAGTCTCCCAAATCATTCAGTTTCTTCTCAAGTAGCCCAAAAAATTCCAGATCGTCTCTATTTGGAGCGTACACATTCCCTGGATCTCACAAAGCATCAAAAGCATTCTCCCTTCCTCATCTGCACTCTCTTTTAAGCATTTAAATTGTAGCCGCTTGTTAACTAGCGTAGCCACTCCCCTGCTCTTGCTACTGCCACAGGCAGCCGCCACAAAGCCCACCCAATCACCCCAAAGCTTTTGAGATTGTGGTAATAAGTGGGTCTCCTGTATAAATACTACATCACATTTTTAAAATCTAATGAAAGTTAATACCTTCCTCCTCCTCACTATGTTGTGGAGGCCTCTGACGTTCCAGCTCATAAGCTTCAACCCTTTTGTACTACTAGCTGAAATAATGTAAAATGAGTGTTATACAAGTTTTGCTGTACCTTCCAAAATTACTCATTTATGAGTAACTTCACTAAATAATAAGAGACAAAAAACTCATTAAATTTAAACATACATATAACAAAAGCAACAAAAATGCATCTGAGAAGCCAGACACAAACACTAATCTCAGTTTGGTCCATGACTCTCTAACTTAAAGCCGCTATGACCTGTGTCCAGCCCGGAATCAGGCATTGGTGACCACCCAACCTCCTACCTGCCCAACACGAGCGTAACCATTAACATTATAATAACAAAGAGGAAGATATTTCAAACTTAGAAAATGAGTTACACATTAAACAGAAGTCTGCATAAAGAAAATAACCGATTGTGTGATCCATGATGGCCATATGCATAAACCAGAATAATGGGCGAACATATTAAGGACAAGGCCTGGGCTGCCTCACCAATAAAATCTCACTTTACACCATGAAAATTAAAATAAGCAGCGGTGTTGCCTTGCACAATATAGCGATTTTACTAACCTCCAGGTGAGTCCTCTCTTGATTGAAACGAGGAAAGAAAAAAAAAAAATAGAGAAGATACCCTGGACTGATCTACAGAAACAACCTCTGAATACCCCAACAGGGACAAGGATCCAACGACCCACCACTTGTCCATATAGTCCGTAAAGGATCGGTGATATTCTTCGTATGACCAGATAAACTTGTCCGTTTGTCAGGAAAAAAAAACTAAAAAACTAAAAGAGTGCACCTGTGTTAATGCGCGTCCGAGCGAGTGATAGACCCACTGAAAGGCTCAGCCCTCTCATGAGGAGAAACAAACCAAAACCTCCTTAATTTAACCTCCTGACATAAAAAAAAAAGGATCAGACGACCCGCCATCAGTCCATATAGCCTGTAAACCTCCAGTAATAATATTGGCTTATGCTCAGACAAAAAAAGAAGAAGAAAGGTCTGTATGACAGTCAAAAACGGAACAATTTGTGCATTCATCTTTACCCTCACACCCAAATGGCTTCTTTTATGAATAGAACAATATTTAAACATAAGTCCTATATAATCAAAGCATTAGACACTGAATAAGATCAGAGAATCAGGCAATTACATGATTACACGTTTTCATCATTAATAAACAGCCAATATCACCTGATCTCAATTTCTCTTGGCTTTTTTTGCTACAACAAATGTTCTTTATAAACACACAATTACAACAGCCAGAAAAAATCTATTATTTAACAGTCAAGGGTCAAGAGCCCAACTAAAGCAAACACTGACCACCATCATGGTGACTTAAAATACAACTATTGAAATACAACTAAAATGGAAATTACATAAAGTAAATCTGATTAGTAATAAGAGAAGCTGGTAATGCTGTTGGAGTTGTGTAATCCTCCCCTGCTGAGATCTTCAGAGATTTAATGTCTTCTTTACTCTTCAGTTGATTTCATCTGTGGCTGAAGTCAGTTGAAGGTCTTGTGTTTCTATTTCCTTCAGTGATTCTGCATGTTAGAATGGCTAATCTCATTAAGTAATTGTTGATTACCTAATAAGGAACTATCTCCTAAATTTGATATTACTTACTGATTATTTAAGCTTGTTTCTATGTTAGTTAATAGTAGTAGCTGAAGTGTTAATGTCGTTGTACTCATTAGTTCTGCATAACTTCCTGCATAGTTAGGCTACTCTATTAATGACGGACCATTATTCTGAAGTGTTACAGTTTTATTGAAACACAGCTGGTAACTTCATAGACTCTAATAAGCAAAGAACGAGTTTGTCACGTTAGGTTATGTTGATGCACTGGGAGGAGGAATCTGTTTGTGTACAGAGATATATCAGTGGAGGAAGTTCCTGCAGTGCTGAGCAAGTGTCCACCCACGAGACAAACTGAGTGATTCTCTTAGTTCCTGTCTCATAGTCAACGCCTCCTTCCTCTCAAATATCCTGTGAGGCTCTTCTCCCCAACAAGCTTCTCATTCTCTGTCATGATTCGAGGTGACTCAACTCTTCAAGTAAGTTTCTTTTATTATGCTAAAAGTTATAATTAATTTACAAAGTTATTTTGAGTCTTTTACTATTCAGAAATGTCTGAATGCAAATGGCATTCAGGCGGACGACATTCAAAATTCAAAGTCATTCTGATTAAAATCTAAAATGAAAATTTGGTCATGCTTTATGTTGTTCCAAACCCATATGACTTTAGTTTTGTTCTTTCTTTCTGTGGAACACAAAAGGAGAAGTTAGACAACAATGTTTAGTGACTGACAGCATCAGTCACCATTCACTTCTAATGCATCTTTTTCTCATTCAATAAAAATGAATGGTCTCTTGTTGTTCTGTATAGCATCTCCTTTGGTGTCAAGTCAAGTAACCTTTTATTTCTATGCTTTATATAATACAGACCAGTTCAAAGCAGCTATAACATGCAAATGATTAAATGATGCAAACAGTTCATTTCAGCTGTACAGCAGCTATAAGTGCTTTGGTTAGTTCCATTAAAGATAATCAATTATTAAAATAGTTTATTGCAGTTCTGCAGAAAAACACTGATATCATCATCTAGCTCAGTTCAGTTCTCATTCAATCGTGTCAGTGCTATCAAAACAATAATATTTCAGAATATTAAGAGTTATAGAGGTTTGGAACAGCCTGGGGATGAGTAAATGATGACACATTTTTCATTTTTGGGTGAAATATCTCTTTAAGTAAAACACAAATATGATAAGACTATAGTTTATATTTCAAAAAAAATGTTTTGATCTTATTTATTGATCAACTATAATGACAAAAAATTACAAGAGGGATTTTTTTAGTGTTTGCACTTGTGAAAAAATAGGTTACTTTAAATATTAAAACTTGCAGATTATGTGTATGTATATATAGTCAACATTTGAAGTGGTTTAAACCCTTTCATCAAAGTTATACATGAATTGTCTTTGATGAACTTGTTTGATCCACTTCAAATGTTGACTACTGTATATATTGACTATTAAATTAAATAAAAAGCAAGAAAGTGACTGTGTTTCTTAGCACACTTTTAAAAATTGCATTTTGTAATCATTTTACACTTACAAAGTTTTACTTAAAGTACAATTCAAATATATTTGTTTTAATAATCTTTTGTTTTGCCTTAAAAAGTACTTATTTTGAGGTGTTGATGTACTTGATCATACTTTGATAAAGTACATAAATATATTTCAATATTTCAATACATGACTTTAAACTTCAAGACATGAAATTTCAACAGAAATGACATTAAAGCATATTTTAGTTTACCATAAATGCTTGTCAGAACATTCAGCAATAAACCATATTTCAAAGACAGTATTATAAAATTACATATGAAGATGTACTAAAGTCCTACTTAAAAACTGTTTAATTGCAATTAACATGCAGTTGTGTCCGATTACATTCAGTTCACACTTGAGTATATTATTTTATTTTTTTAAGTATATTTCCATAATAAGTTCTATTTCGAAAGTATGCTTAAGTGCCCTTCTTTTCACAAGGGTGTTCTTGTCCTGCGGGTGGACAAAGTGCGATTATTTTAAAATCTTTTTTCAAAGAGAATCTAAAGTAGAGGTTAAAACACAAAAAGGGCACAGGATTAGACAAAAATACATATGTGGCACTTTTTTCTTTCTTTCTGGATATCAGCAAATAGCCCTATAGAAGAAGTTTAAAACATTGCCATTGTCATCAAAGCACGCACTAAAAAAAGTTGTTTCATTTTCCGTTTTAGAAATGGTCTACATCAACAACACACAGACGGAACAGAACAACACCATGGATGTCAACAGTGTGTTCACAAAGCAGGTTCTGCCTGTGTTTTACTCCATCATCTGCGTTTGTGCCTTCATTCTCAACGGACTTGCGGCTTGGATCTTCTTCAGGCTTCCCAGCTCCTCTGCTTTAGTTGTTTACCTAAAAAACATGGTGGTGGCAGACATTCTGATGCTGTTCACCTACCCGTGGCGTGTGGCCGGTGACCTCGGTTGGGGTGGCTTGCAGTTGAAGATGATAGTTTGCCGCTACACAGCTGTGCTTTTCTACCTCAGCATGTACACAGGAATAACCTTTATGAGCCTCATCAGCTTGGAGCGCTACTTCAAAATCATCCGCAGCACCTCCGGTGTGTCTTCCTTTCTGCAGCGCGTTTCGGTAGCGAGAGGTCTCGCGCTGCTAACTTGGGCCGTCATGATGTTCTCCGCTCTGCCGAACACCATATTAACCAACCAGCCCATAGAGCCCGGCCCAGCCCCTAAAAAATTTTCCTGCATGGACCTGAAAAGTGTGCTGGGTCGGCGCTGGCACGACTTTTCAGCCCACTTCGTCGTTGGAGTCTTCTGGGTGGCGTTCATGCTGATGGTGTTTTGCTACACCTCCATCGCCTGTCACGTGTACCGCTCTTACAAACGGGTGCAAAGGAACAGCAGTGAGGCGAGACGACGGTCAAATCGAAGCATCTTCAGCTTGCTGGCCGTGTTCGTCTTCTGTTTTGTGCCCTACCACTTTTGTCGCGTTCCCTACACGCTTACCCAAAGGCTCGAGGCTGGTTTTAGCTCGTACGAACGCTACATTCTCTTCCAGATGAAAGAAACTACGCTCTTTCTATCCGCCCTTAACGTCTGTCTGGATCCCGTCATTTACTTCTTAATGTGCAGGACATTCAGAGAGTCACTTTTGAAGATGTTGTCTCCTGTAAACCGAGACAACAGGAGGCCTTCAATGGGCACTGGGCTGAGTATCACTAATCTGTAAGAGGAAAAGCAACGAAGGAAATGGAAAATGCCATTTTCAAGATGAAAAAGCAGATTTTACATTTTAAAAACACGTATCTTGCTGTGGTTTCCGTGCATTAAGAAAAAAGCAGAATGAAAGAAGGTCACACCGAAGTGGTGTTTTCCAGAAAACCAGAATCCAACCACAGCTCTCAAAATCATACTGAAATAAGCCAATCCTTAAAGGCAAGGCATAAATAAAAACTGCCATCATTTACTCACCCTCATGTCTTTTGAAATCTGATTTTAAAATAAATGTTTCAAATTGATGTTATAGAAGAGCCATTTCAGGAACCCTTGAAGAACCTTTCAGTCAACAGTTCTTATATAAGAACCTTTTTTTTTTTTTTCTTAGTGTGAACTGTGAAGAACATTTTAATAATCTGAAGAACCTTTTTCCACTTTAACGAACCTTTTGTGTAATGGAAAGTTTCCATGGGTGTCAAAGGTTTTTCATGGAACCGTAGATGCCAATAAAAAACTTTATTTTTAAGTGTGTACTTCTGTGAAGTATAAATGGCGAAATTGTGAAGAATATTCCAGACAATCTTTTCTGTACAATCAAAGTGAATTGTAATGATTGAAATGATCTAAGCACATGGTCTAAAGCGCAAGTGCACTTAGGGCGTGTCCGAATACACTTTTGCCAGTTTAGCGATGGGAAAAATGGTCTAAAAGGGTTGTACATATTCTCTTAATGAGTAATGGGTGTGTTTTGGGCTTTACGTGCAATAAACCAATCAGAGTCTGAACCGATGGAATTTGCAAGTGGAAAGACTGAACGCGTCTCCAGAGAGGAAACGGATCTGCTTGTGCGCCAGGTTAAAGCTCGACCAAGCCGACCATCTACGGGACAAGCCGGATTCCACCATATCTTTATATATACACAATAATAATCGTTTACATTGTAATCCTTTTATTTGTAATATTTGGCATGTTTGTGTGCTGCTGCGTGTAATAAGCAGAGTGTACGCACATTTTTCTTTTATGTAGATAATAAGAAAATAGAAAGTCTACAATGTAGAAATGACGTAGGGAGACCGGGGAGTGTTGTATCACAGAGTCAGTTGTAAGTGTCAGTTTAACAAGACAGAAAATAGCTATGGTGATGTCATCTATATAATATGTAGATTTTATGATCAAAACAGATTTTCAGACAGGAAACTACATTTTTTGATCAAGATTATTATTATTATTTTTTGCCTAGAAATTACTGTATTAGATGTGACCTAAAGTAACCTAAAGTAGCCTAGCTGTTGCTCTAGTTTAATTTGATGCTTTGCACTCATGCTAACTGTAAACGCACATGCTAAAACAGTTAGCTATGTTATGACTGTTTGGGGTGTGGATAGTTGTAACAGTTAATTAAAAATGTTACCCCTTATAATTATTTCAATGAGTCCAGTTATCAATCACGCGTTGAGGGATTTATATGGTAAATATGTTTCCATCGTAGTTTATGCGCATGTCTTCTTATTGGATAAAAAACTTAATCTGTCTCAATTGAGCGCATACAAATTTATGGCATTTTCTTCCAGCATTTTTTGTATGTGATATCCCTAAATTCACATAAAAATAGGTGGATGGCAACATAGCTAGTGACTGAATGTGACAGAGACAGAGATACAGTGCACACACACAAAGACTGTTTTGAGCTAAATTTAAAGTCCTTAAAGAAATACAATATAATGTTTATGTCACTTTAAATTGTTAACTTTGATCAAAAGTGATTATTCTTTGTTCTTCAATAAAGTTCTTGCATAAATTTCGATTGTTTGTGAATCTTATTTCAGCTAATTACCTCTCATTGTTACATCTATCCCCAGCTAATGTTACAACTCACCTTTATTTATATAGCGCTTTTTACAATACAGATTGTATAATTGACTCACCTCGGTTGTGGGGTTGTAACAACAGAACTCTTTGTATTTGACAATAACTCACAGAATCTGTGATTGTGTAGTACACATCCAAGCGAGTTTTATTTGTAGTAGACAAATGTGGTTACTGTGTATCAAAAAGAGGTCTAGCGCAAACAACCACTTAGTTACTGATGCTCAAACAAAAATGTGTTACTTTCATCCCCAGCTAAGAACCAAATCAGTAACCATGACAACAAAAAGGGTAAAGGCAGGGAGAAATGGTGCAAACGAAAACAAAGTTAAAAACTGAGGTGATATGTGACACCCCTAAAAAAAATTGAATTGAATTGAATGCAGAAATTGCCTGGGTAAAATCAAATGGATGTTATTCAAACATTTGTTCCTGTGTTTACTAGAAGTATTTGCAACAGACAAATAATAATAAAAAAAATAATTATAAAAACATTGGTCTTATTCCTATACATCCTAAAACACTTTGTTAATCAACAAAGGGGGGGGGGGGGGGGGGAATGGGGGGGGAATGGGGTGGGAGGAGGGCTCCGAGCTCGGAATTCGGCCCGAACCCAGAGTACTCCCCCCTGTATGTAAAGTGGTTTAGGACTAGAAGAGTGGAGAAGGGGTGGTGGAGGGCATACCTGTCAACACTCCCGTTTTTCCCGGGTTTCTCCCGTTTTTTAGCCCTATCTCCCGGACCACTCCCGGTTTGTTATTTCTCCCGGGAAACTCCCGTAATTTGCATGGCCCAAACTCCTCTTTGAATAATCGGACCAATATGTTGCCAGATCTTGTATTAAATGCATTATATTCACACAATTAGGGGTGTAACGGAACATGTAATCGTATTGAACCGTTTCGGTACGAGGCTTCCGGTTCGGTACGCATACAAACCGAACGATTCCTTGGACCATTTTTCCTGCCGACAAAATCCGCGCTGACGCGACCACCACAACGTTGCGCAACATCAAATGGCAAGCGTAATGAAAGCGGAACGAAACTGCGCTTCTCATTATATTGTGCTTCACGGACCGTTTATCAGTTCGGACCAGCAACATCTGTGCAGCGCGAGCCGATCTTGATCAAGCGTCACTGTCACTACACAGCGCCAAGAGATCCAGTGAAGAAAACATTTGAATTCGCCACTGAAGTAATAACATCGCTGCGAGATCTAGTGAGAAGCATTCAAATTTCTCCATTATTAACCATAGATCTCTATTAGATCAAACAGCTCTGACATGGAAACCAGGAGAAACATTGTGCCGTGAATGATCTAGTTATAGGCTTTAAGTCCACAGATCAGCAACATTCATGGATTTACTGTAGTAACACTAACTGTAAACATGGAAGTTTGGAATAGTGAAATGCTTTCAAGTACTTCACACATCTTTTTCCAGCACTTCAAAACTCAAATATTATCTAAATATTATATAAATATAGGCCTATATTTAAATGTTATTTTTAATGTGATGACCAAAACATTATTTGTTCATCCTCCAAAGATTACCCCCATTTATAAACCTGAACGTTTCAAGATGTAGGAAAACTCAAACTTTAAAAGTAATATATTTTCTTTTAATAAATAGGAAATTTCTCTGGCATTTCTTTCTTTTTGCTGTATCGAAAATGTAGAACTGTTGCACCCCTACACACAATCCACACATCATATACAATTTCAACCCTTTTGTCATCTCAAGATCACTGTAGGTTGTGCTTTGAATTTTAATATTGGTCAAATGTATAAGAGTATGTGTTATTGAAGAGGAGAATTTAAGTTTTGTCATTGCATAACTGTGTTAAAGCATATTTATCATCTGTTATACATTATTCAAATTAAGCCAGACAATATTCAAATAATCGACATGTTTTCTGTTACACCTCACGCATCCATATGCATTTGCATTTATGATTTTCTCACTTTCATCTTTTTGTGTGCATACCAAAGCAGGACAAACAGCTGGATCATAGGCTTACAAGTGGATTTAAAGAAAGATACATTTGATAAAGCAGCTAATTGCGGAATAGCTAATTAATATTTACTATTATTTAAATAATAGAATTACTGTATCCCATTAATGTAATTGTGATGCTTTTACATTTGTTTTGTTTTATCAGTATAGTAAGTCATGGGGGGCAAAAATGGTTTACGTTCCTGAAAATGAACCAGATAGGAGATCATTATTATTGCTGTGCTATAAAGCCTAGCACAGTGTAGTCAAGAGGTGAAAAGTGTCCATTTTATGCTATTTTAAAGGCTCCTAATTTTGTAGGAGATTAGAATAGGTTAACATGCGTCCAAGAAAAAAAAGAAGATTTCTTTTTTCTTATAATACAGTATATATTGCAGCATCACGTCTTTTCTCACACTGTCTGAAATGGTTTGATAAAGGATTCGGTCTCTCTAAACCCCAACTTTCTGAGAGCCTGCTTTGCTCTGATTGGTCAGATGGCTTAATTTGTTGTGATTGGTCTCTGCTTTGATTGGTCAGATGGCCCAATCTGTTGTGATTGGTCTACCTCTTACAGCACATTTCGGAAACAAAACATACATTACGATATCTGGATTTTGGCTCCGGATCTTCCTCAGCACTTGATATACAGTGATACGAACAGTAATGGCACTGGTTTTACCATATCAATTCGGGCTTGAGTCCTCATTCTTCAGAAGTGCATTCAAAGTGGATGCGCTTTTGCAGTGCAGAAAATAGCATCTTGTCATTTCAACAACACTCTAAAAAATGCTGGGTTATTTCAACCCAAATTTGGGTCAAATATGGACAAACCCAAATGTTGGGTTAAAAAATGTAATTAAAAAATGTACAGTTGAATGTGAAAGTTGAAGTTGGGTTAAAATTTTAAATTACATTTTAAACCCAATTTGGGTTTGTCCATATTTTACCCAATTTTGGGTTAAAACAACCCAGCATTGTTTAGAGTGAACACAAACCAAATTCTTCCAGGCCTCAACTACAACTGCAGTGTTTATGGGCAGGTCAATGTAGTTGTTGTTTGTGGGCAATGAAGATCATATGCTGGCATTATGCAAATTTGTTGCAAACCTACGTGGGTTCGTGCAGGAAGTAAGACTGAAATTACTAACGACTCGTTTCAGGCAGTTCAGAATTTGTTCTTTCTTTTTGGGAGACATACTCCATTTACCGTGCACTTTGATCTTTGAAACATTGCAGACCTTTCACAAACAGCTGTATTACGCACTGCATGCTAGAGGTCTATACGGAGCACCCGAGACCCGAGGACCCGGGACCCGACCCCATAATCTATTACTTCGAGTCCCGG